TGTGACAGTTCTGTCTGCTGTGCAGTGGGAAGTCTGGCAGATGCGGTAAAATGTGTTTTATTAGGCTAAAGCTTGGGTGTTGTCTTAGTATCACTGTAACTGTATGCAGCTAGTACCATCTAGTGGCAGCCGATACCATCAGGGGTTTGCACCATCAGGTAGCCTTAGGAGGTTTTTTGGGGGGGCTCTGAACAGCATCATTTGGAGAGGTGTATTGCTATTCTGTAATTTGGAAGATTTCCCATTAATTCTGGTTTCCTACTCTCACCCACAGGACCGCAAACTCACAAAGGCAGAGCAGCAGCGCTTCAAGGAGGAGGCGGAAATGCTTAAAGGGCTTCAGCACCCTAACATCGTTCGCTTCTATGATTCCTGGGAGTCCGTGCTTCGGGGCAAGAAGTGCATTGTTCTGGTCACTGAACTTATGACGTCAGGAACACTCAAAACGTGAGCACAGCCTCTCCAACACCGGACACCTGTCTAGTTTGTACTCTGTCTTTTATAGCTTTAAGTATTTTTTTTTCGCATGTACATAATTTAATCTAAAGTTACTATACTGAAGCCTCTCCACAAAGGGACTAATCATTATTTTAATTCTTCTTATTCCATTTATATTTTCTTTTCCTGCACAGCTACCTGAAACGCTTCAAAGTGATGAAACCCAAGGTTCTGAGGAGCTGGTGTAGACAGATCCTGAAGGGTCTTCACTTCCTTCACACCAGGACTCCTCCAATCGTCCATCGGGACCTCAAATGTGACAACATCTTCATCACGGGCCCCACGGGATCAGTCAAAATTGGCGACCTGGGACTGGCCACACTGATGAGGACTTCCTTTGCCAAGAGTGTCATAGGTGGGCCCAGAAAGAATCGATCAACTCCCCCTTGAGGCCGGTTTTAGAAGGAGCGATATCAGCAGCTCTCTGACTATAAATATACCTTTTTTCTGCATTCAGCAGAGTTGAGGTTTTAACAGAGAGCCTGGCGCTCCTGAGAGAGCGGTGTAAGTTACTCTGAATTCCATGTGGGTAGCACTTAATGTAAACAGGAACCAGTGAGCCAACTTGAGGAGTGCACCAGGCGTACCATTTAGTTCTTTAATGTTTAACTCAGGAAGCAAGAGGAGAAGATTCTTATTAAAGACCTTTACTGCTTCAGTCTGTGGATACTGTTACTTGGTAAGCTGTATGTAGCTGAGCCATATAGCATGTAGTAGATAATTACTGTAGCATTCAGCGGCAAGATTGAGTTCCATTTACAGGATCTCCAAAGTACAGATTTTTTTTAACTAGAACCATTTTCTGCTCTTAACAGGAACTCCAGAGTTCATGGCTCCAGAGATGTATGAAGAGCACTACGACGAGTCTGTGGATGTGTACGCCTTTGGCATGTGCATGCTGGAGATGGCTACATCAGAATATCCCTACTCCGAGTGTCAAAACGCAGCTCAGATCTATCGCAAAGTCACAAGTGTGAGTGGCTTTGATCGAAATTCAACATATCAGTGATTCGCAAAGTCACAAGTGTGAGTGGCTTTTTCTAAGTACATTGATCGAAATTCAACAAATCAGTGTCAATGATGTCAAGAGAAGTTCTCTCTGTTTAAAATACTATGGAAACTATTTTTCCACATGTGGAAATTGGCAAGAGTAATACGCTTTATTTTATATTACTTCTTTTCTGCAGGGTAAAAAACCAGCCAGTTTTGATAAAGTAAATGACCCCGAGATTAAAGAGATAATCGAAGGCTGCATTCGCCAGAACAAGAGCCAGAGGTAAACAACTATTTTAAATATGTTATATTTAAAATATAGAGTTTAAAATCAGTTATAACAGGTATTTCATTGTTCCATGACAGGCTGTCCATCAAAGACCTTCTGAACCATGCCTTCTTCGGTGAAGACACCGGAGTTCGAGTGGAGTTGGCGGAGGAGGACACGGGCACTGAGGACTGTTTGGCTCTCAGGATTTGGGTGGAAGAGCCGAAGAAGCTGAAAGGAAAGCACAAGGACAATGAGGCCATTGAGTTTAGCTATGACCTGGAGAATGATAGTGCTGAGGAGGTGGCCCTGGAGATGGTGAGACACGAGGACAGTTCACGTCTGAAATAGACTTAGTGGATAAATGTAGGGTTAGCGTTAACTCTACGCTCATTAATTAGCTACATCTCTGTCCCTAACCACAGGTCAAGTCAGGTTTCTTCCACGAAAGTGATGCCAAGGTGGTGGGAAAGTCTATCCGAGACCGTGTCAGTCTGATCAAAAAGTCACGTGAGCGCCGGCATCTGCAGCTCCTTCAGCAGCACCAGGTCTTTGAAGAAAGGCGAGACTCCACTCTCACGTCACACACGTTTTCTCAGGCCTCCTGCCCCTCGTCCCAGGGGCCGGGGGCCGGTGTACAGGCAGTTGGAGGACGAGAGACTGAGGAGCTGCCTGAAGTAGACCAGTATGTCAGACAGCAGGACATCCTCAGAGGGACAACCCTCAGTCTGCCAGGTACAGCAGATGTTGTGCCTGTAAAAAAGTAGTACTGTATGACTGACATAGTTTTTTTTTACACACACTCCAATAATTTAACTAAAATTTGCTTTGCAGGTGAGAGCATTGGCTCGACCAGCTGTGAGTCATGTACAAGTGGACAGAGCTTGGTGTACACACAAGGAGGGGAGTCATTCAGTCAATCCCAAACTGCTCTCCCATCCATGACACCTGTACGTTAACTGTACTCACCCCCTTTATAACATTATTCTAAACTGATTGAGTGATAAATGTTTGACACTTTTAATGTTGTGAATCATCCTCAGATGTTTCCTTCTGGTGAGAGTGGCAGTGTTCCAAACGTGCCTCCTGGTCAAAGTGTCAGTATACCCGGCATACCAACAGGACAGGGCGGAGGGGGGCCTGTCGGTCAGACATTTCTGGCACCCAGTACCATGGTTTCACAGGTATCACCAAGTGTACCTCAACCATATTTTCCAGATAAAGTTGTCATGATTTTAACCTTAACCTAAACAATAAAACGTAAAGTCGAGGTGGTACAGCTTTAACATTTCTGGGGTTCCTTTGCTTTAAATAAATATTAACGTGGCTGTTAATAATACTGACAATCATCTGAGACTGAGGGGAACTATGTGTTTATGAAGGCTGGGAAATTAAACTGAATCATTAGATATGTTAGTATTTATATGTTTTTGCTTAAAGGATAATAAGGATTTTTTTATTTTTTTCCTAACTTGACCTGTGGTGATCCAAGATTCCAGCTCTGAGGCACTGTGTTTTAAATGTGCTGATAATAAATGCTAAATGCTAAAGCTTATTCTTACCTGTTTTCTACTATTCTCTTCTCCCCTCCTGTCCAACACCAACCTTCATTCTGTCACTGTCACTGAGCAGCAACAAACATTTCAATTAGATACATTTCAAACAGCCACCCTCCAAGGGTCCATGCCTTCCTCACAGTCATGCTTACCCCCCGCGTCCCCCCAAGCACCCATTAATGTTCACACTGCATCCTTGCCAGTGGATCCTGCTGGAGCGGCGGGGACCATCACACTCCCCGTTCAACAGACCCAACCCATTGCCACACCCATGCAGTCTACTGACATTACCCCTGCAGTACCCCAGCAAACACAGCCTGTCATGATCCCTCAGCAGACTATTGTCCAACAACAACAACAGACAGGGCTGGACCTCAACGCCTCCACCCTTCAGCAACTGCAGCAGCAGATAGTGCCTCAGGCCACCGTGCTCACACAGCAGAAGGTTGGTGCCAACCTGCCGCCAACAGAAAATCAGCAGCTCCAGAAGAATCTACAAGAGCCTCCGCAGCAGGTCTTCGTCCAGCAGCCTGTTCCACCTGTTCTTCACCAGCAGGTGTTGCCTACGCAAACAGGTATGGATCAGCTATCATTACCACAGCCAGAAGACCAACAACAGAACTACAGGCAGCTGCCAGTAGTGGATCAGACCACAGTACAACCGCAACAGCTTCAACAACAGCAAACCCTGTTACTACAGCAGCATCAACAGTCGTTACCGTACGAGGAACATCAGCTGTACGCCCAGCAACACCTGGATCAGCAGCTTCACCTTCTACAACAACAACAACAACAACAAACACTTCTACAGCATCAACATCAGCCTCCGCCGCAGCTAAAGGAGCAGAGTCAACTATATCAGCAGATTGTCCAGGCTGCAGCACAGAAGGAACCAGAGAGGCAGCAGCCATGTGGACAACAGCAACAGAACACGAAGTTACAGCAGCAACCACACCAGGAACAGCAACTGCAGCAGCAACAAGCGTTACTTCGACAATTGGAACTACAGCAGCAGCAGCAACAAGCGCTGATGCAACAGCAGCTGCAAATGAATGCAGTTTTACAGCAGCAGCAGCTACAACAACAGGCTCAGCTACAGCAGCAGCAGCAGGAGCAACAGGCCAAAATGAAGCAGCAACAAGAGCAACAGCAGCAAGCTTTACTACAGCAACAGCAGGCGGCAGCCATTATTCAACTCCAGCAGAGTCAAAGACAAGATACTGGCCATTTTCCACCAAGTAACAGTGAACATCAAATGCAGCATCTAGCAGCTGATTTACAGCAAGTGTGCATCTCCCAAATGTCCCTCGGTCAATTTACGCCTCACACTCCTCTCACACAGCAGGTGATGGAACAACAACAACAGCAAGCTTTATTGATCCAGCAGCAGAAAGCATTCATTACCCAGCCGCAGCACCGTACCTCTGTCATGGAGCCTCACATTCCACCTGGAGCTGCTGTTGGCTCTGAGGTAATTCAGCAGCGGGCATCTGTCTCTCAGGCTCCGGCTCCAGTGACTGCCCAGCCTCTGGACCGAGTTCGTTTTGGGTTGCAGTCCACAGACCAAGTGGCTCAGACAGTGACGGAGGCTTGTGCCATGATCCAGGGACAGAGTAAAACCAATCAGATCCAGCAAATGAATTTGCATAGTTGTTATCAAGGACATGTCCTGCCCACCCAGAGCCAGGGTGCTGTCCTGGCAGCAATCCAGACCTCATCCTTACAAAAAACAACTACCCAGCCGCATCAACCACATGACCAGAGCCTACTTGTTGACATGATGGGCAGACAAAGCCAACCTGCGGCCCAGCCTGCAGCTGCCTCGGCCTCTATCCCCTGTTGTCAGGTCCAACACCAGCCTCCCTCTCAGCAAAACGCTCAAATGACAGGGCTCATGCAGCCGCAGCTCCGGCAGGAAACCCAAGACCTTGTACATGCTCAGGGTGCCACTGGCCCCTTGACCCCTCACTATGGCACTCAACTAACCCACCAAGCCGTGCCAGTGGTACAGCAGGATATAAATCACGTTGCACAACAGCTACAGCAGGCAGTACTGACGCATAAGCAGGTAATCCTCTCACCTCGCTCTGTCGGTGCTGCCACAACTACAGATGGTTTAGATTCTGCAGTTGACCCTGCAAACTTCGCTGCCACTCTTCATCATGTGCAACCAGCTGGACAAGCGCATATTCCGAACCAAGCTGTTCGGACTCAGCAAAATCCTCTGGGATGTACCAGTGATCCGTCTCTCCTTCAGCCCCTCTCACAGGCTGCTCTGACTCAAACCACCGAGCAATACCAACAACAGCTGCACAACGTTCCTCCAGTACATCAGCTGCCAGCTGCTTCTGCTGCCCAGGCTCAGATACTGACACAGCCATCTGCAGCACCCTTTCAGCCGCCAGCTCCGATGCAGCAGGTTTTTATTCCTCTGGATGAGACTCAGCATCTTCACTTAACCAAACCACCTGCACAAACCTTTTCCAATATTTTGGCAGAGAACAGCCCAGTTCCACTGCATGGTCACCTGGCCGCGGCCATCGCTCAATCGCCACATCATCAGTACAACCAAATGCTACCACCTCACACGTACCCCAACATGGGCCATGTCCAAGCACAAACATTCACACAAACACAGTCTGTTCTGCCCTGCTCTGTCTTTCCTGCACAACAAACGCCCCTCAGCCCTTCTCATACCTCCTCGCTCCCATCTATTCATCCTGCTGCTGCCCCCGCTCCAGAGCTGCCCACATCTCCACCAGCGGCTCAGGTAACCAAACCGAGGCCGGCCGACTTTATCCCCACCTCTCCTCCGCCTGTCGCTACTCCACAAATGCTTGACTCTAATGCTCCCCAACCACCCCAAGCCTCGCTGCAAGACTGTGACCTTTCCCTGCTGGGCAATGCTCAGGTACAGGAAGAATAGAAGACATTGCAATGTTTAAGCTCTTATAAATGCTAATGATGTGCTTTGTTGGTCTAATTAATTGAACTTTCTTTTGATTTCCTCTTGATTGAAATTAACATCTTTATTTGCACCAGATTAGTTGATGAATTGCAGCCTTAATACAAGCCTTACTTGTGCACTTTTTCAAATTGTTCTTGATTCTCCCCCAGGATGTTCCCAACCTTTCAAGTGCAGAACCTCATTCTTCTACAGGGTACGTTTTGAATTATTACTTTAATATTTTCAAATTACAGATCCACCGGGGGGGTTAAAACACAGTCTTGTGGGCTGGGCAAAACAATTAATAAACAATACAATAAATTCATTCTTTAGCATAATACATGAAGCAGGCTGTATCTGTACCATTATCTTTTTTGAAAGATAATGAAATGTTTGATGAAATTTAAACCAATATAGACTCAGTGTTTTTCATTTATTTTTTATTTTTATTTAACAAATCATGTCCTGTTTCTACCCAAAGGCCTGCTACAGCCAGTGGTGAAGAAATCCTCCCAGCTTTGGCCAATGACAAATTAGAAAAATTAAAAAGCCAAAGAAGATCTTCCTCCCAGAGACATGACAAAGTTTCACATCAATTCCAGCTCAGCATGCTCCAGGTAATCATTTACATTTCTCACATTTGTCTTCATCAGTTCTCTGGAGATTAGGTCCACACTGTTTGTCTGTTTTCTGTCTTCTGCAGGTGTCCAGCAGTGGGGACAACATGGTGGAATGCCAACTAGAAACACACAGTAACAAGATGGTGACATTTAAGTTTGACATCGAAGGAGATGCTGTGGAGGACATCGCAGACTACATGGTAAACTCCTCGTGTCCTACACTGCTCTGCTCTGACTACGTTCAAAATTCTCCGTCCAGATTCTTTATGACTACGTTGTGTGTGTAGGTGGAAGAAGACTTTGTCCTTGATGTGGAGAAGGAGAAGTTTATAGAAGAGCTTAGAACAATAGTGAAGAAATCCCAGGAGGTTCTTCAAATGCACATTCAAGTATGTGTTTAATTCCCTTCTACTTCCTCTGTTGTATATTTTTATTTTCATACTACAATAAAAAATAAGAAAATGTTTTTTTGTTTTTTTTTTGTTTTTCTCATAGTCCGGGTCAACTGACCAGCTAAATGTGAGCACACCTACAAGCTCAGCAGGTACATTTGGGGTCTATGTTTGTATAAATGTGTGACTTGAAGCTGCTTTACTACAATAAATGGTCTTGTGTTTTCTCCACAGACTCTGCTCCCCATTCCTCTCCAGTGGGACGCTGGAGATTTTTCATCAACCAGACCATTCGCCACAGAGACTCTCTGTCCAACCAGGGAGCAGCCACAGCTCTGCCAACGTCTGAAACGAGGCTTCCTGAGTCTTCAATGTTAAAGAAAGGTAAGTTCCACCAAGGCCGTTTCCATCACTGGTTGGCAGACGTAACAAAAACTAACCTTTTGTCACTCTTTGGGGCTACAGAATGTGAAGGCTCCCTAAGTCTGGACTCCTTGACTGGGTTGGCTTCCTGCTCCTGTCCTCCTCTTTTCTCTACCGCCCCTGCAGCTTCTACCAGCTCAGCCACCCCAGTAACAACTGCCCTCACCACTGGCCCTGAAAGCATCTCCGCACCAGCCTCCACTCTCGATGCCTCTGTCCCTCTGTCTGCTTTAGGAGGCCTTGAACAGACCGTCTCCCCCGCTGCTTCTCCCGAGCAGAATTCCAGCGCTCCCTCATCCTTAGCTATGCCTGATGTTGCTAACCTTCCCACTTGTGCTGCTAATCTTGTGTCCCCCACAGTCAACACTGTTCTCCATGATACCTTTACTCCTCCTAACACTAGTGGCGCCACAGTGAGTCAAACTATAGAAAGTACTGAGGTAATTCCCAAGTCGTATGTCTCTGCAGTGGACCACTCCTCCTCCTCCTCTTCTCTTCTTCCTGCTTCTGGAGTGGACTTCCCACCAGTGAGCCAAGGCGGCATGCAGCATCCACATTCTCAACCACAACCACAACAACAACAACCACAGCTGCAGGCGACTCCAGTGCAGCAGCAGACCCCCCAACAACAACCACAGCAAGTCCAACAAAGTCACCTGCAGCATGGAGAACAACAGCAGCAACTGATGCAGAAACAACTACAGCAGCTCCACCTGCAACCAGTGCACGCGGTCCAACAGACACATCTTCAACAGCAAACGGTGCAATGTGTCCCACAGTCGCAGCAACAGCCACAGGTACAGTTAACGCAGCATGTGGTGGCGCCACCTGCTCCTGTGGTGACACAACAACAGAGCATGCAGCTACAGCAACAACAAAGGATGCAGCAGCAGTTCATGAGTGCTGCGCCTCCTAATCCAGATCAGGGCGCACCTCTGCCTCCGTCATTAAGTCAACAGTTTCTTCAACTCAACATCACGCCGGCATCACAACAGCAGTTCCCACAACAACCTCAAATCCACGCTGAGCTGGCACAACAGCAGATTCTCTCACAAAAACAACACGAGGTTGTGAAAGCCATGGACACGCCGCAGAAACAGCAGCAGTTCGGACTGCAGAAGCAGCTGTCTGTACAGACGTCAGAGTCGGAGATGTCCACAGGGGAGGCGAGTGTCACAGAGGACACAGGGAGCTACTCCGCCCCTTTCCCCCCTTCCTCTGACTCCTCTCTGCCTCCTCTTCATCTGGGCAGTGCTGAGACCAGTTTCCCAGCCCTCTCCCTCACCCTGACCACATCGCCCC